GGGGATGGTATGGACAGAGCTTGGACAAGCCAGCTGGACTGTCCATACACATGGGTCCAAGGCTCCTTGGTACAGGAGTCAGCATTGGAAACAGAATCAGAATGTCCTGTAGACCAAAGGACAGTTATCCCCATTTGGCTAGCACAGAATCCAGAGACATCTCAAAGTTCTAAACAACCGGTCTTTCAGGTTGTTTTGAAGGAGTATTTTTCAGGAAAGGAGGAGAGAATATATTTCGTTTAGCAGTTTGTTAGCTGGACTTATTACTTTAAATTTTGGCCCATGGTATGTGAACGTCCATTTATACTCCTGCCCTGGGGCCTGTAAATATTAGGGACGGGTTTCTTTCTTGTGGAGACAGATACTAAAAAACCACACAAAGAAATGTAAAATCAAACCACAGCACAATGATGACTAAGTACACAATTTAAATCTCTTCTAAAATGCTCTACTTGAGCTCCATTCCCAAATTCTCATTGCATCTTAGGGTCTCCAGATTACCCCAGCCCTGTAAGCCATATCTTACTCCCTAACTAACCAAAACACTGACTAGACTAGAACATTCCATACTATTGTTGCCCCTTCTGAATATAAAACTCCAGGGAAGCCAACCTCAGAAAGAATAAAAAGACAGATGAAGCTTGCTACACTTTTCCAGACACATGTCCTACTTTCCATTAGGGTCAAAACAGGTGGCCTCCCACCCTAGCTTCTGACCACCATGGTGGATTTCATCTTTGTACTTACCTCTAGGCACTCCATAGCTGCCCAGCCAGGAGGTGGATTCACCTCTTTTCAAGGTAGCCATGTGTGGAGTGCCTGGAGGTTGCTCCACAAAGATAAAATCCACCATGGCAGTCAGGTGTGGGGGTCGGGGACAAATCTCTTCTGATTCCATCTGTCTAACCTCAGCCTTGCAGCCTAAATCTATTCTCATTTGGTCTTCAGCAGCAATAGAGAAGCCTTCTCTAACTAACTGCAGATAAAGTGGCAAATTCTCCCACTTGTCTTTTTGAACAGGCACCCCGCCCACAAGCTGCTTTTAAACATGCATCTCTTTCTTGTACCTGATAATACTGTAATTCACTCAGCCTCACTGTCTGAGTGTTCTTGATCTCTATCAGCCCCTGTGATGTCTGGGTTAGATTGTGACACTCCCAGAGGGCAGGACCACATCTACCCTACATCTCTGGACCTTGTCTAGTAGAACAGCAGGGAAGAATTAGGTGCTTAATAAAGACTTTGATGATGGAAACAGACAAGCTGTACTCTGTGCCTAGAGCATGATAAGTCTGCAAGAAACAGTCCACATCCGTGCCACAATCATAGTGGCTTCCTGACAGCCTGTGGGCTGGGGCACACTTTTCCTTTTACAGAAGGCAGGAAGAGCACTCTATTGCATCTAAGCTAGTAATAACAATAACAAAACACTATGACGGCACTGCTCTTACAGTATTGACTGATTTGATGCTCAGAATAATCTTATGACATGGGGACTATTATTTATTATTTATCCCAGTTTTACAAATCAGGAATCCAAGACACAGACAGGCTGTATAACTTGTTCAGGCCTCCAACCAGGGCCATCTGGCTTCAGGGAGACCGGCTTAACCATCATGGTACATTGTCCCACAAAGTGGGCTAGTGCAGCTTCAACTGAAAAGGGAGAGTGAGGGGGCTGTGAGCTGGACTCTGGTTCTACAGTCTCATGAGTCCTGACCCCTCTTCAACATAAATGGATGGCAGCGAGGAGAGTGGCTCCTCAGTAGCTTTCAGCATGGAGCCAAGTAGGTTCTCAAAGCAAGTGTTCACGCCTATCCCTCTCTTTTCTCCTGTCTTCTCTTCTGTTTTTCCAGGGTGCTAAGCTGGTTTACATTCATGCTTTTGAACTTGCTAGTTCCTCCACCTGAAATGCTCTTCCCCTAGACCTATGCTGGGCCCTTCTCATCATTTAAATGTCAGCTCAGATGATGTATTCTTAGGAAGGTTTTTCCTGATTACCTGATCTAATGTGGTGGTACCTTTCCCACCGCCTTCCTTTCATTTCTTTCTAACTCATTTTCCTTTCAAAATTTCATCACAGCACTTAAATAACCTTATTTACCTACAAGTTTACTTGTCTATTTCTGTGTCTCTACCAGAATGTCAGCTTCAGGAGAGCAGAAATCTCATCTGTTTTGTTCACTCCCGAATATTCATGTCTGGCACACTGTAGGTGCCCCCAAAAATTTGTTAAATCAATGCATACATCAATGAATGGATGCAAAGTCCTTTGTAGACAGGTGCAAAGGTGAAACTAGCTGTATTCTCTTTTTGCTCCTCACCACAAATATTGCAAGCCCTTGGCAGGAAAAGATCAAATATTCATTTTTTGGAGCCCCTATAGCAGTAGCAGATGATTAGGGTGATGGGGATGGGGGTGGTGGGGGTCTGCTTAATTTCTTTGTTTGGGCAGAGATAAGACCAAGTCATTCAGCTACTAAGATTGCAGACCACATTTCCTCCAGGGCCATGTGTAGATAATTGCTGGACAGCTCTCTCCCTGAACAGAAACTAAAATACAGAAATTTTAGCTTCTCCTTTCTCCTCCTCCTCCTCCTCCTCCTCCTCCTCCTCCTCCTCCTCCTCCTTCCTGTTCTTCTCTTTCTCTCCCTCTCCTCCTCTGCTATTTCCTCCGTCTCTATCTCTCTCTTCCTTCTCTAGAGTTTCCCTTATCTCCTCTCCTTTGTCTCCTTCATAGAAATGCTATGAAAAAAAAGAAATGGGAAACTGTGTTCTTCACATCTAATGTAGTACTCACATTGCTCTTATTACTACTATAACACAACCCCATTAAAGCCTCTTGGCTCCTGCACAGATAAAGTAAACCCCCAAAACATAATAATCATATGGAGGAAGTGCTTAGTTTGATCCAGTCTTAATGCAGACATTGCCCCCAATCCCCCCACATAATAGAGCCCATTCCTTTACTGGTGTTAGCTCTTTTATTTAAAGCTTTATTATGACACATCATCAAAATAATGAACAAGAAAGGAAAGCTTCTAACCTCTGACCAGATCTTGTATCACATGAGGGTATTTCACAATATTGCCAATGATCCTTTTCTTTTTCCTTTTTCAATAAAATACAGCTTTCTGTTATTAAAAACACCTGCACATTATATATAAATCTATTCTAAAATATTTTTATACTTGCTCTCTCCTGGACCCTCCCAACACACCTCTGAAGAAAGGAGGGGCATGAAAAGGTATCTCCAAATCACGTAAGTTGGAAAAGAAGCCAGAGGCATAAAGCTATTTGGAGAAGTTCACACAGCAGGGGAAATATTATCCCAGGGTACCTCCAAGTCCTGCTGTTTTCTAGAGACAAGAGTACTCTTGCCATAAGCCACATTCCCAGCAGCCCCTGTGACATGCAGACCTGAGCTCATATGGGAGATGAAAGAAATGCTTCAGGAATTTAGGAAATATACAAATAATTCTTTTGGAAAGTATGAAGTACTTGATGGGGCAAGATCCTGATATCAAAGTGAGGCACCCTCTTGTCTGCCAAGCCACTCTACCCTATAGCTCTGCCTCAGGCTGGTGCTGGAAGTGGAGAGAAGGACTGAAGGGAAGGGAATCTGGAGCTTTTTGCCTAACAGGAGTTTTCAACTCTGGACAACACTTTATTAGATACTTAGGTAATCTTAGTCACAAGAAGAAAGAATCCAGCCCCCCAGTATCTCAGAGACATTTATTCACACTGAGATCTATACCATTTTCCCTCATAACGCCAGGCTATAGCTCCAGGCATCGCTGGTCCCCAGAGTTATTTGCCTATTGAGAGCAAAGAGAAAAAATAAATGAAAATCCAAGCTAAGCCTGCATCTTACAGAGCACACCCTCAGCAAGAACCAGAGCCAGCTGAAACCTAGCACGGCGTCCTGCTGCACTACCATTCACTCAAGGGTATCCAGAAGTCTTCCTGCTCTTCAGGAAACTACTGAAGAAATGACTTATGGGAACACATAATCTTGCCAACCTTGAAATTGAGTATTCCTTCTCCAGCATCACTAACTGGGTGAGCCTTTCTATCTGGGATTCTTCAGAGTGTTGCCACATTCTATGGTTCTTGAAGAATGTACATATGCCATCCAGCATTGCTGACACCAGATTGTAGGTGAACTTGGGAGAGGTGTCTGAAAATGTGAATGAATATGGTAGGAAAAACCTGCCAGACTTGGAAAAGCTCTGGTCCATGAGAGAGCTGGCATCCCTGATTCTGGATGGGGAACATTTAAGGGACTTTCTAAGTCAATACACTTTATGTCTGAAAAGAGAAATATTGCAAGCCCTTGGATATTGCAAGTCCTTTCCATTTACCTGCCTGTTTTCAACATAGAAAGATTTGAGTCTGCCAAGAAGTGTCTTAACACACCATGTAGTCTTGGACCTAGAATCCCTCTCCATTTCCTCCTCAGTCACTAGAACATAATGCTGAGCATGTCAGTGTGATATGAAAGGAGGTTGCCCAAAGTGAAAGGACAAGCTTACTGGATTTCAACCAGTGAGAACAGGGAAAGAGGACAAGATCTCAGCATACTCTCAGGAAGAAGTTGGATATAGGACTGAAGGTGGGCTGGAGGAAATGTTACTAACGACAAATTAAATAAAAGGATATCTTGGCAACCAGTGTGAATGTACCACCAAGTTTCTTCACTCCATTACTTCTAGATCTTCAATTCTGAGGATGTTTGTGAAATTTGGGGATGGAATCTAAGACACTAGCGTTGGAAGGAAAATGCAAAATCTAGAACACAAACAAACCACCAAACAGCCTCCACCAGGAACCAGACACTCACTGGGCAAACAACCACAAGAAACAGCAATGAGGGGCTCTTAAACACAGAGCCCTCATACCAGAGACAACATAACGGTTCCCCAGAGCAAGAAGGCGAGTAGCAATCTGCAAGACCTGAAAATACCACAGGAAGCAGGAGAAGGGAAAAGGGGACTCACCTGTTCTGGCCCCTGGAAGCAGATGCGGCAGAGTGGGGTCCTCATACCACTGTCCACGCTGCTGCCCAGTGAGTAGCGATCCTCGGTCTTCTCCTTACAGAAGTCATCTGAGGAGGCACTGCTGAGCAGCAAGGCAGGTGGCTCTGTGGCTAGGCCACCCCAGTCATCTTCCACAGAAGAAGGTGGCAAGGGGGGTGGAGGTGGCACAGGAGGGGGCTCCCTGCCCACCACTTCTCGGGGGCCCCTCCAGCCTGCCCACCCCCCGGCGCCCAGAGCCGGAAGGGTGTTGTTGTTGGCCGCCAAACCGGGGGGCTGGGGGTCGCCGTGCATGGGCAGGGGCGCTTGAGGAGGGCGCCGCAGTAAGAAAACCTTCAGGTCATTGAAGAGCATGCGGCAGCGGCACTTGAGGAGACCCTGGTGGCGCAACATCTGGGGGGCTGGAGCACACAATCCACAGCAGTACCAGCCACAGCAGCAGCACCACCACCACCAGAGCAGCCCACACAGGGGCATCAGCATGTGCCCCGTGGAAGCAGAGAGCCCAAGAGGGGCGGTCAGAGTCTTTAAAGAGGGGGGCAGGACAGGTTTGGGGGTCCACAGTGGATCTGTGTTGTGGGGGGAGTCTGCTTTCTCACTGGCTTTTCTTACAACCCCTCCAAGTAGCAAATAAATTGCTCCCAGGACTGAGAACTGTGAGTCACTGATTCTGAACTCCACCTGGAAAGCCCAATAACAAAAAAGTTTTTCTTGCCCTCACACGCCCACCCCAACCTCCAACTTTGTTCAGGGTGTCTCCTTTCTGCCTTTAACCTGAGGACACTGGTAGGAGCAGGGGGATAGACAGAAGTGTGGCAGAGGGGCCACTGGAGCCTTAAGATCAATGTCGAATTGTTTAAAAGTTCCCCAGGAAAGGATTATTGGGTTCTTCTCAAATTCCTAGGCAGTGAGAAATCTTTCTTTTGTATAAAAGGGTGGGGACAATTGTAAATCAAATTTGGAGTGGATTGAGCTGGGCTTAGAGAAAACTAGCTCAATGAAGAATTGAGGACTGCATGTATGAGAGAGAAAAGATAGTTTTTCTCAGGTGATAGCGGTTAGGGGGAGTCAAGGTAGGGGAGGAGAGAAGATTGGGAGAAGTTTTAATTCTCCTGGGCAGAAAACTGGGGCAATTAACCCCCAGAAGCACCAGAGTTGTTTTAAGAGAGCAGTTGGGTGGGGGAGGGGGTTGCAGGTGAAACCGGGTTAGGGGCTTGTGTTTTGCCTTTGCAGCCAAAGGGCTACCCAGAAGAGGCGAAAGCCAATTAGGAGAAGGGAGGTTCAAATACAGGGTTGGGGAGGGAAAAGGATGGGAGAACAAGAAAAGATCGTTTAACCCTTGCAGAGGCGCCTCCTTCCTGAGCTTGAAGATCCTGGCTAGAGGAAGGGTGTGTGTACCGGGGTGAGAGGGCGGTGGAGCAGAGAATAGGGGTAGAGGAGAGGGGCGTGTGGGAGAGAACAGGAGAAAGGAGTGATTACATTATCTCAGCCCCCAGCCCACCCCTGCTGCAGTCGGCAAATCCGTGGCCCCCTCCCCTCGGTTCCATCAAAGGTCCCTTCGGGCGAGTGGCAAGAGCCGCGAGAAGGGCAGGTCCGGGCGGGCGAGTGGCCTCGCCTTCTCCTCTTCCTCCTCTGGGTCGCGGTCGCCCTCCTCCTCCGGCTCCGGGTCGGCCCGCGCCCGCAGCAGCTGCTGCGGCGGCGGCGGAGGCGACTGCTGCTCGGTGTCCGGGTGTCTCCGGGGCGGGGGCTGCTCCGGCTCGTCCTCTAGCTGCTGCCCGCCGTCCGGCGCGGTCGCGACTCGGGCCTTCATGATCCTCCTCCTCCTCCCCCTTCCCTGGGGGCCAGCCCTGAGCCCCCGCGCCCGGGCAGCGCTGCCATGCAACCAGAGGCGAGGCAAGCGTGGGGGTGGGGGCGGCTGGGGAGTGAGGAGGGCGGGTAATAAAAAACGAAATAATACTAGTGGAATAATTCGGTTCTCAATCAGGCAAGAGTGCTTCTGGAGGGTGGGGGCGGAGGAGGGCGGCTGCCGGGTCCTCTCGGCAGCTCTGCCCCCGCTACCCCCACCAAGGGCAGCCTCGGCCCGCTCTCTGCTCCCCCACCCCGCCCCTTCCTCCTCTCCGCCGCCCCTGGCTTGCTGGGCTCGCTGTTGCTACCTCTCCTCGCAGATGCAAAGAGGTAAGGCTTGTTTGCGGTGCCAGCTGAAGGTGGGGAGGGGGGAGCGAAGCAGTGTGGCCAAGGTGGGAGGCAGCCGGCACTTGGTCCCAGCTTGGTCCTCGCGACTCCCCAAAACCGTATATAGATATATCTCTTATAAAAGCCGAGAGGAAGCAAATCAGGTTCCAGGCTGCTGCCAGGTGTTGTCTCGTCTTCCGCCGTTGCTCAGCACCCGCCGCTGCCCCCCCTGGCTCAGTTCCCAAAGGGGTGGTGCTGGAAGGGAGGTGGCGGGGCGGCGAGCTGACCGTCCGAGAACTGGAAACAGGGTTCTTGCAGCGAGGGAGGCTCTCGGCTATCTTCGCCGCCGCCGCCGCCGCCGCCGCCGCTGCTGCAATCAGCACCCCGGGCGAGTGGACAGCTCCCACCCAGACCCCGCGCGTCACGCTAGTGGGGGCCTGACGCAGACGCCGCGGAGGGATGGCGGAGGGAAAGGGGATGAGAGGAAAAGAAGCTGGAGGGAGAGGGAACAAGAGGAGGAGAGAAGAACTGTGCGAGGGAAGGGGATGGGGAGGGACCAAGGGAAAGGGAGGTAACAAGGAGAGGGAGGGATTTAGGAAGGGAGGGAGGGAGCAAAGTGAAGAGTAAAAGAAGGAAAAAGGCCACGGGGAGGGAGGAGAGCAATTCAGGCACTAACTCTTGCCTTTTCCCTCAGCAGGAACGTGTCGGTGTGGAAGGTCTGGTTGCAGACTCTGCCTGCTGTCCACTATCACAGCTTCTCTCATTGCACATACAAGACACAGACACCTCTCAGTCAGAGTCCATTCTCTGTTCACATAAACATTTAAAGTAGATCTCAGTCTGCAGGCTTTCGAGGAGATGAAGTTTTGTGACTTCCACAATGAAGCTGGGACTTGATGAAGATTAAACCCCTCATGACTAAGACCTCATGAGAAGGAAATGCTTCAAATTTTCAAACAGGGAGGAGAATGCTAGTACCATTTGTCAGCTTCTTCATCTAGAATTTAAGCTCCAATTGACAGGGATAATTTCTTCTTTTTGGTCCATTTGATCCCATGTGCCTAAGTCAGTGATGGCATGTAGTAAGTATTCAATGTGTATTTGTTGAATATACATTTGGTGGCTTGTGGCCACCATCGCCACAGTCATCATGACTATAAGTCACAGTTCTCTTTCAATTGTGAATCATAAGAATCCAGAGGAAGGGTGTGTGTACCTGGGTGAAGCAATATTTCTGCTTTGTCTTCACCAGTATCCCTAGGCTCCTCCCTATTCAAGCCTTTCACTGAGCCGCTGACAAGAGGTAATTTGAAATGGATTTTAATTTCCTCTCCTATTTCTTCTTCTGACTCATGTCACCCTACCCCATTTTTCTCGAGGAGTTTCTAGTGAGCAGCAAAGTGCCCCTAAATGTGAAGAGCAGGAAAAAGAAGGAAACTTAAAGTGGTCTGTATAAAATCAGTATTTGCAGCTGTAGACATTGGGCACTGAAAACTTAGAATTCTTTCTCTCTCTCCCTCTCTCTCTCTCTCTCTCACACACACACACACACACACACCCACCCACCCCTCTAGGGCCATAGAGAAGATATGCCAGTGATTCATCCAAACGGCCGTGGTATGCCTTTAGAAATATTGGAGCCATAAACAGAGTAGCATGCAAAATTTCTGCAGCAAAATATCATTTTGGAATGAAGTTCAGTCCAATGAGTCATAAGAAAACTACCCCTTTGCTGCCATCTCTATGAATGATTCATTCCTCTAAGCTCTATGGAGAAAGGACCTACATCTCAGGCTTGGTTAACCCAGCATGGCTACTCGTCTGAATCATGCCTCAGGACCCACCATGGATACTGAGACCCAGCCCAAGGTGACTGGTTTAAAGATGATACTAATATTCATAATAACTACAAAATAATAGTTATTGATTGATATCAGCACAAAGACTGTGCAGCAACAGAGAACCTCTTTATTTTAAAAATTCTATCTGCTCTTCAAGAAAATATTTTGTGTTCCACGTCACCCTGTATCTGTCTCTGGCATTGCAGAAATCATACTCTATAATAATTATGTATGACTCAGAGCTCCTTTAAGGCTGGGATCAGAATTTATATTTGTTTCACCAGCCTATGGTACAGCGCATGAAGTTTAGTAGGTGTTCAAGAAAATTGACTCTGAATGAATAAATGGCTTTTTTGTTTCAGTGAAGCTACCATATTTCTCCCCTTCGGCCTAGACACATACATGTGAGTGTTCCCACATGTGACTGAATAAAGATATTCTTTATCTTTATAAATATTAAGATATTCTTTATCTAAATAAATCTCTTTATTCAGTCACATGTGGGAACACTCACATGTATTCAGAATATGCTTTACCTAAAATTGAGTGTTAGAGTTTTCTGCTCATTAAATTCTAGTTCCAAGTGTGTTGTGCAAGTAAATTGGGGCAGGAGATAGAACAGCCATACAAGACCTATATTCAGAGTCACAGAAATAGATGATGTCCATAACAAGACTGTCTTTTGCAACCTTCCCATTGAAAGTGAAAAGATTTCTAGAAACAGAAAACTATTAAGGACAAAAAGTGATGACAGAATTGCCTTCAGAAAGATTGACAAGCAGCTGGGTGTGGTGGCTCACACCTGTAATCCCTGCACTTTGGGAGGCTGAGGTGCATGGATTTGCCTGAGGTCAGGAGTTTGAGACAAGTCTGGCCAACATGGTGAAAGCCCATCTCTACTAAAAATACAAAAAAAAAAAAAAAAAGTAGCCAGGTATGGTAGTGGGTGCCTGTAATCCCAGCTACTTGGGAGGCAGAGGCAGGGGAATTGCTTAAACTAAGGAGGTGGAGGTTGGAGGTTGCAGTGTGCCAAGATCGTGCCACTGTGCTCCAGCCTCAGACTCCGTCTCAAAAAAAAAAAAAAAAAAAAAAAGATTGAGAAGTGTGAGATGCCTGTTTTGAATATAATGTAAATCTTGTAAAACACCTCACTGAGTTAGAGTCTTTTTACATTATTATCTAATCAGGAGCCCCAAATTAAAAATTCCGTTATTGTCTAATGAGCCCCAGAGTAAAAACAACCATAAAGACCATGTTAAATCAATGGGTTCCTATTTAGACATTCAAAAAATGTTTACTGAACACCCATCATAGGTAAGGCATTGTGTTGGAAGATGTGGGGAGGACAAACTCGTTGGAATTGCATCCTTGAGGGTCTAGAAATAAATATATACATAATCATAATATAAAACATAAAATAGTGTTAAAAAGTATGAAAAGTCTGGGGAGTGTCCAGAACAGGGAGAGAATGCTTGGCGGCAATTAGGAGGTGGGAAGAGTTGGGGGGAGATGGAGATAGATGCCAGAGCTCTGGGGAAGGCTTTTTCAAGAAGTGACACTTGAATTGAGTTGAAATATGTGGAATTTAGAGGAGGGAGGCATATTTCTGGCAGTGGGAGCACTGAATACTTTAGGTTTCCCATTTGGCTATGGTTGAAAGTACTCAAAGGTAAGTAGCTAGAGGAAATGTCAGAAAGGTAGGCTAGAGCCAGATTATAGAAGACCCTGAACGCCACTCTGGGAGAAGATTTAGTCATTGACCAGGTACTTGTTTTAATGGTTTTAAAGATTTGGAGCTGAAAGTGAAGGGGAAAAATAAACTTTATCTCTGAGCAAGTTAATTAACTGGATGGGATTTCATTGCTAACAGGTGGGAAGCAATCAATATTTTTCATTTCACGCCAGAAAGTTCTCAGCTCCTTAATAGATTTATTCTTTAAAACGAGGTTGTTTTCAGATGTATTTCATTACATACAGAGACGCTGAGGTCATAAGAATTAGAAGAGGAATAGAGAATGAAAAGTTCCAAAAAATAGTCTTCAGGAAGAAATATTAGGAGACCCAAAGATTCAGAAGAGGCTCATTATGGAGGCCATTGTACTTGTTTCTCCAACAAAGAGAGCTCGAAAGGGAACCCATGCTAGTTATTATCTCTTCTTTACCTAGACGGAAAGTAACCCAGGCTAGAGGGAATTTTTACAGACCCTTTAAAAAGAGAGGGTTAGCAAAATTGGACAGCTCTTTGACTAAGATCTCAGAGCAAAGTAAGTGTCAGGGGCCAGAACTCATATACAATTTGCCTTCTAGTATATCACATTTGACTTTCTTCAAACACATAGCTCCTCAAGAATAGGTGCAGAATTGTGGTCAATAGGCAAATTAACAGCTACCATGTACTTTCCATATGTACTTAGAAGCACCTGGGCACTTACTAAAAATATAAATTCTTGGGAGCCAATCCAAATTTACTGAATAAGAATTTCTTGGGAAACAACCTAGAAATCCACTTTTTGACAAATGCCTTACCCAAGTGACTTTTGTGAACCTCAAAACACCT